AAATTAGACTTGTTTGATATGCTAAATTGTAAAAGAAGCACTGTCATATGATAAGTAATGATAATCCTTTCTTTTTTTCTTTCTCTCTCTCATTTTTTTTTTTTGAGACAGTATCTCACTATGTAGCCAAGGCTGACCTCAACCTCCAGAGTGTTGGGATTACAGGCATGCACCACCATACCTGGGCCCTAAATCTTCTTCCAGTTACATTTGCAAGTATGCTATTGGTATGAGAATTCCAAAATGGTATGACATTTCTAGAAATCTGCTATGTCTTGGTATAAATGCTATCAATCATAATTTCAGTTATGTTAAAAGGGTGTATACCATAAAAGATAACCAAATTTCCTGCCAACAGCATCATCAGCATTTGACTATGGCTATTTTCAGTCTTGTCGTTCTTAGAGACTTAATATTTTCATTCTTCTCTAAAAGCATTTGCAGTCAGCTACAGTCCAAAATTGTTGTCCTTCAAAGACAAGTACTTTAGAATACTGGTTTCCTGGCTAGATCATACCACTAGCCAGATGCCGATGGCTCATGCCTGTAATCCCAGCTACTTGGGAGGCAGAGAACAGGAGGATTGCAGTTTGAAGCCAGCCCTGGCAAATAGTTCACAAGACCCTATTTCAAAAAACCCTTCACAAAAATGGGCTGGTGGAGTGGCTCAAGGTGTAGGTCCTAAGCACCACAAAAAAAAAAAAAAAAAAAAAAGCAGAAACTGGTGGCCTGGTAAACTGCTAACCGTACATGGGACTGAAAAACTGGGGTCAATGATTCTTTGTGAGTTTTTATTTGAAATTTTATTCATCTTTTACTTTAATGTTTTATTTTCCAGATTCAAAAAGCCACTTTTTCCTTTCTTTTTAAGCAATCCATGGCTTTACAGCAATTTGGCACATTATATTTTTGAGAATAAAAATTGAAATGCTTACTTTTTCTCCTTATGTAGTCCTCAAGAAGCGGGAAAGCTAATCATGGATATTTTTATTATATGGCTGTATAGTTACATGCAAAAGTTCAATAAGACTCTGTTCTCTTGCCAGGTGCCAGTGCCTCACACCTGTAATCCCAGCTACTCCCCCGGGACCAAGAGGAATGAAGTCCAAAGCCAACCCCAGGAAAATAGACCCTATCTTGAAAAAGCCCAACACAAACAGTGCTGGTGGAGTGGCTCAAGGTATAGGGCCTGAGTTCAAATGTCAGTACCGCAAAAAAGGACGGATGGAAGGAAGGAAGGAATGAAGGAAAAAAGGAAGTAAGGAAGGAAAAACAACAACAAAAAAGAAATACATTGTATTTCATAAAATTAAAAACTCCTGTACATCAAAGGATATTATCAAGACAGTGACATGCTGAGGGTATAGTTCACTGACAAGAAAGGACATGCTTAGCACACAGGAAGCCCTGGGTTCAATCCCCAGCACCACACACACAAAACACACACACACACACACACACACACACACACACACACACACACACACACACGTGTGACAAAAAGGCTGGTGGAATGGCTCAAGTGGTAAAGCTCCTATCTAGCAAGCATGAGGCCCTGAGTTCAACCTCACAAAAAGAAAAAAAGTGGTAAGACCAAATGGGGGAAATATTTACAAATCACTTATCTGATAAAAGTATTCAGAATATATAAAGAACTCCTACAACTCAACAAGAAAAAAATAAACAGCCCAATTGAAAAATGGGCCAAAGGCCTGACATTTCTGCAGACACAAATGACCAACAAGCTTATAAAAAGATGCTTATCATCATTAGGTATTAAGAAAATGCAAATCAAAACCACAATGAAATACCATCTCATGCCCAACAGGATAGCTACCATCAAAAACAAAACAAAACAAAAAAACAAACAAAAAAAAAAAAACCAAGTAATAACAATCATTGGAGAGAGTGTGATGAACTTGGTAGGAATGTGAAATGGTAGAAAATAGTTGGCAGTTCCTCAAAACATTAAACAGAATTGATTTAGGGCTGGGGGTATAGCTCAATAGTAGAGCACTTGCCTAACAAAATTATCATATCACCTGGCAATTCCACACCTGGATACATACCCAAAAGAATTAGAAATGAGCTGGTGGAGTGGATCAAGTGATAAAGTACCTGCCTAACAATTGGAAACAGGTATTCATATACATGCAAGTACATACATGTTCATGGCACTAACATTCACAATAGCCAAAAGGTAGAAACAACTCACTTATCTATCAACAGATGGATGTATAAACAAAATGTCTTACATACAGACAACAGAATATTATTCAGCCACAAAAAGGAATGAAGGAGTGAGTTTGCAAGGTACATGAAAGTTAAAAACACGTTGAGTGAAAGGAGCCAAACACAAAGGTAACATTGTATGACTCCATTGACATGAAACAAGAAGAATAGGTAAACACATAGAGAAAGTATGCTCATGGCTGATAGGCAAAAGAGAATGAGTAATGCAGAACAATGGCTTAATGTGTATGAGGTTTTCTTTTGGTGCAATGAAAATGAGGACTCAATAAAATTTGTTGCATTATATTGTGAATGTAAGAAATGCCACTGGATTGTGAATTAAAATGGTTGATTTTATGTTAAATATACTTTACCTCAATTTAAAAACAAAAATGCAGGGCACCATCTGCAGAGCCATGTCCAGGCCCCTGTTATGCAAAGGTAGAGCCAGGACCAGCAGTGCAGGTCTCACCTCTGGCCTCAGCTCAAGCTGATGACCAGTGCAGAAGCTCTGGCCCTCAGTCAAAACGCACACTGAACAAGCTCTTCAGGTGATGTACCATGGCACTCATCAAAAGCATTGTGGGACAGCAAATCCATGAAAACACACATGTGCATAGCATGTTCAATGTACATGGGTATGTGCCTGAGCGAGGTTAAGAGAGAATGTGACAGAGGCAAGAAGCAGAGGTGGCCACTGCCAAGCCAGGATCCCACCAAAGGCTTATTGGTGTAGAGACCAAGAGCAGCTATTGGGAGACAGGAGGTGTCCTGTCCCCTGAAGGAGGACTGGTCCCTACCAGACACTACCCTGAAGAAGAAGAAAGACAGATGGGCAGAGCCCTCTCCAGCTCCTCTTCTGTGCAGGGCCCATCCCGGATCTGGAGTGGGACACGGTAACTCACGACTGTAACTCAGGTAACGTCTTCGAGTAAGTGCAGCAGGGGGAGGGATAACAAGGAACCTGAATCCCCAGGACTGCAAATAGGCCCTGCCATTAACCCCTCTGAGCCTTGGGATGATAATCACTCCCTGGAGGTTGTTAAGAGGCTGAATCTCAAAAATGCATCACCCTCTATACAGGGACATCTGGCTGTACCATCCAAGTGTGTGACACCTACTAGGTAAGGGTGTGTGGCCAGCAGAATCAAAGACTAGGTGAAACAGATGCCCATTCTATTGCTCAGGGACAGTGTGCCTAACTTCAGCTGAGTCAGCATGCCTGGGTAGAATGGAGCCTCATTATTGGCGACCTCCTAGGATGAGGGGCAGTGGGGTCTCCCTCCTCTCAGCCTGGATCACAAACAAGTCTCCCCTATCAACTAGACAAAATCTAACCCCAGAACCAAACGCTATAGGAGGCCCAGGTAGGAAGGGGATGATGCAAATCACCATGAGAGAACATGTTTAATTTAAGACAAAGTGAGGTACCACAGACATCAGCAGTTCTCCCATAGTTAGACAATCAAGCAGAACAAAAGCCCTACACATCTACAAGCAGGATTGTCCCAGCTCACACCACCTCCAACACACTGCCAGTCCCAACCAGACTACAAATGTCTCTTGCTCCTACTTCACACTCCAAACCTTACCACAGCTCTCTCCTGACCTGAGTCTGCACCCCAGGTTTACACCTCATCACTGCTTAGTAAGTCACTAGGCACAGCTGCACCGGTTCCCCTGGTGGAGCTGCCTACATCCAGTTCCAACCTTTATGGTGACCCTCACCCTGGTTGTTGCTCAAGGGGCTCATAACCAAGCTTTATGAGGGTGGCTCAGGGGAAATTCCACACAGGAAGGAACCCTAGACATGAAACTGACTTTAATCTTAACCTCTATCCAAAGTCCAACCTCAGCCCTGACTGGAAACTAACCCTAGGGACTAGAAGTATGGCTCAAATGATAGAGCGCCTGCTACCTAGCAAGCATAAAGCCCTAACACAAGCTACAAAAACAAAAAAAATGGAAATACCCCAAGTAAATACTCCTGGCAGGAAAGAAGGATGGGGGCCATGTTCCAAATCTTTTTTGGAAGCTTAATCCACCTAGAACATGGAGGGGTCCAGGTGGCTAGAGAGCACAGTCCCGGCCAGACAACATGGCTTCCAGGAAGGGAGGCCCACAGTCCCCTGCAGCCCAGCTACTTGCACACAGGACGGTCCAGCCTGGAACCATACACCCCCATCCAGAGGTGAAGGAGCAGAGGTGAGGGCCTTCCTCCTGCCTGTCCTGGGACTGAAACTACACATGCAGCTCCTGGTCATCCTTTTAGGACAACTCACACATGCCAAATATGCTGACCATCAAGAATGCAAAACCACTAGCCCAGAGGATGACTGCTGCCCTATTCTCATCTCAATCCTCAGTGTTCATCCTTAGCGTTGTGTCTTATTTTCTCTATATGTATGTTCATGGGATCTTGTCATATGGAAAACCATGGCCACATAAACACATTCATGTTTTAGGTTGGAGTGACATCTACCACCAGGTACCCCTAGCTGGCTCTTCCTAGAACCTAACAGGAAACACAGACCCTGACCCCTAAGCCCAGCACTATCCCAGATAGGCCAAACCTAACCAAGCTCTTGGCTCTGACTAAGAAGACCTCTGTCCAATCCAAACAAACCCTTCCTTGGCACATTCTCCATGCCTGTGAGGGTCACCAGCAGGCCCTTGGCTGGGTTTGGGGACCCTTGTTACACTACCAGTGTCTCTGATGACCACATAAATCCACATTGAACAGGAACCTGTGGATGGGGAACACTCACCAACATCCGAGTCTTTGTGGGTCTTGATGACCTCTGCAAGCTCAAAGTTTCCTGCAATGATGGCAACCTGGGAGAAAGAGCAGACCAAGATAGAGGGCAGGGAGGGACACTCAGGGGCCCAGGCTTGCCCCAACCCCTGGTACTCCTTCTGGGCTCTTCTGTAGGAGATCTTCCTTGCCAAGTCACCCTTTTCTCAAGTAACAGCACTCCTGTCTACTGGGATATGACTCATTACAGAGGAGTTAGGACACTTCACTACATTTTGCAACTAAGGGGGCCTACTGCTCCAATCTGCCTTCCCAGACATTAGACTTTCAAAGCTAAAAGCAAATAGACCTGAGCACACTGGAGCACACTGGGGCACACTTCTGAAACTTTTAATCTGCCCCTTCATACAGCCATCTTTCCTGTCTCAGCCACGGCCTCATGGCTGTCACCCTTGTTCTTCCTCCTCATACCCCCACACCTAGTCTTCTGACAGGCCCTGGTGTATCTTCTTCCAGATGTGCCCAAACCCCTCCACCTCAGCCTCATCCTCACACAATCACAGCAGCCCACCTTACATTCTCAGGGGCCTGAGTTCCTATCAAGAACAGACCTCCCGCTCTTTCCATGGTCCACAAATTGCATGACATCCCCTAACTCCCCCAAAACTCCATCCACCTGGTCATCCAATACCACCCATCCTGGATGAACAAAGGGCTCAGAAACACCACTTAGGTTATGTCAGAGATTAGGACCACACCCCTCCCAGGTTTGTCCTCTGCATCCCTGCCAGCTTCCAGGGGTCAGGCCTATTCTTGTCTCCCCTGTCCTCTTATCTGCCCCTCTCCCATCCTGGAGCCCTCTTTCCTTTCTCCCTAGAAAGAGGAGGGAGGGAACCACTACACTGAATAACCCTACTGAAACCTATTGGCCCACCTGCCTCCACTCCTCTTGTTGCAGTCCTGAGAGTGGGCAGTCCCTTCTTACCTTCCAAGGACGAAGCAAGGTTTAGAAAAGCCAAGTCCCAAGGAGAAGGACAGGTAAACCCCTGGGCAGCCTCACACTCCTATAAATCACCATACCTGGAAGGCTGTCTGGCTGTTGTAATTTCGGACATCTTTATTGGCTCCACGGAAAAGCAAGACACGAGCACAGCTCTCCTATTGGGAGACAGAGACAGTCACATTGGGAAGCTGGAGAGATGCAACTGGGAGGCCATGGCAGGTGTACACAAAGAGGTGCACACAGATGTGCAGGACACAGGAATCACACACAGACACATAGACTCACACCTACATATTCATTGCACACTTGGACCAGATTAAGTACATGTGAGCAAGTTTCATCTGGCCCAGAGGACCTAGATGGTCACAATTCATACCTAGATGTCAGAATGCACATGTACACACATGTGACACAAATGTGTATTCAGGGAATAGATGTGCACATGTATGCCCACAAGGCTGCCCAGTAAGCACAACTTACTGCAGGGCACAAAACACACATGTGAAAGGGCACACAGGTGACTGTTCATAGCAGCCCGTGTTACATATAATCACACCTCACCACACACAGAATGTGTAGTGTGCCCACACAAGTGCGGAGCACAGGGGCACACCTGGTTGTACAGAGCACAGATGTGCAGAGCCGTGTTCCCCGAGGCATTCTGGGCACCCATGTTGGCTCCATAGAATAGCAGGTGCTCCAGGTGCTGCACGTGCCCAAAGCGGCAGGCCTGAAGAAGAGAGAGGTGCTACAGCATCCCAGACAGAGGCTGAGGACCCCACCATAGCCTGGGACCCTAGTCCAGGCACCCTGCCCACCTGGTGGATCTCCTGCCAGCCATTCTCATCAGTGGTCCCCAGCTGTGCATGGTCATGGAGAAGCAGCTCACAGCAAAGGGCGTCTCCACCCCCCAGGGCACTGTGGTACAGGGGCGTCAGGCCGCGGCTGTCCTTGTAGTCAGGTGAAGCCCCCAGGTCCAGCAGGGTCTGAAGGTGAGGCACCTCATCATCCATGCCAGGCCTAGCTTCCTGCCCCACCAGCCCACATGCCCCTCCAGGTCAAGGCCATGCCCTCACTGACCGTCAATGCCCCTGCATTTCGCTGGCGGGTGGCACAGTGGACAGCAGTTAGCCCATCTCGGGTGCGGAAGTCCAGGTGAGCACCACCATTCCGCAGAACCTTTAGCAGGTCACTAGCATTGTCTAGCTGAGCTGCAAGGCTCAGAGGGCACTCTGGGTTTGGGGAGAGATGATGGTTAGCGTCCCAGCCACTCAAAGGACAGTGAGGTGCCAGTGGCTCACGCCTGTAATCCTAAATACTCAGGAGGTAGATATCAGTAGGATCACGGTTCAAAGCCAGCTCAGGCAAATAGTTCATGAGACCCTATCTTGAAAAACCTATCACAAAAAAGGGCTGTCAGAGTGGCTCAAGTGGTAGTGCAACTGCCTAGCAAGCATGAGGCCCTGAGTTCAAACCCCATTACCACCAAAAAAAGAAAAACAAAAAAAAAAAGGATAACAGGATAGCATCTCCCTGCTCTGTAACTCACCTCCTGAGTCAGGGTCATGGAAATTGGGGTCCAGCCCCTTGTCCAGCAGGCGGGCCACCTTGTCTGTACTGTGCAGCTGGACATAGTCCATGAACTTCTTCAGGTTTGCCTAGAACACCAGCCATCTTGGTCAGCTGAGTGCCTGATGATAGCCATCTGTCATTCACTCCCTACCTGTCTCCAGCAAGCCTTAGGCCACCTAGAGGGCACCCACTGGCCCCATCAGCCTGACCTACTATCTAGCTTTACTCACCTTCAACCCCAAACTCCCCACCCCAGCTGATTCCAGTTTGACTGGACCCATGCACCAAAGCCCTTCCCTGCATCCTGATATCCAAACCCACCACAGTTGTCAACCGGAGGCCAGCCATTGCTCACCACACCAGATCACTCTGGTCATGCCCCCAAGCAAGTTCATGCCCCTCAACCTCAGTTGCTGCCCTGCTCTGCCTAACCCTAGAGCCCCAACCTGCATAGCCTAGAAGAGCCCTGAGTCCACTCAGGCAGCAGCCAGGCCTATGGTAATACTGAATCTTCTTTCAATCCTGGATCTTCATTCTTTTCTGTCCAATTTTCCTCACCAGCACATCCTACCCTAAGGCAGACTTCTGGGGTCCCAGTGACATGATTTTCCCTTTTACTCCCTCATCCAGTCATGAATCAAGTCACCAGGAAAGCCCCACTAGCTCCTGCTGGTGTCATGGACACCATACACACACAAGGCAAGGTGCCCCAGACCAGGCCTCTAGAAACACTCAGCATGCATCAGAGACAGGAAGAGGGTGCCTTGGGGACCACTATCATGGGTAATATGATAAAACCAAAGGAAGGATGTTCACAACCAAGGGAAGAACCTGTGCAAAGCCTCCAGGGTTGGTGGGAAAGGGCAGGGCCAGTTGGACCCCCAGCAAGCAGGAGTACAGGGCTGTGGTAAAGAGTTCAGATTCATCCTACAAATAGGACTCGCTGAAGAGAAAATTACTCATGTCCTATGGGTCCCTGGGGAGAGATCTGGAAGGACTCAGGGTGACAGGGTCAATAAAAGGGCCAGTGGAAGGAGATGGGAACCTTTCTGATAAGGTTTCCACCCAGCCACAGAACCAGAGCCACTGACCGCCACCTGCCGTGGAACAGCAGAAATGTGTAACAAAGAAGTCTGAGGATCTGGGACCACAGACAGGGTGACAGGGGCCTCTCCTAGATTCCAGAGACCATTAATGTAGTGTCCAGCAAGCAAGCAAAGGTCTACTGGCCCACGTTGCTGAGGTAGGGGAGCTCAGGAAGTCTACCCATGGAAAGGTGCTATGGTACCATCTTGCCCCAGGACATTCAGAGCAAACAGGGTCAGGCCCGCCTGAGAGCGGTATCCAGCAATTAAGACACCTCACAGATATACCCTAGTACAGACAGATCTGAGCCCAGCTTCACTGGCTACACAGTCATAAGCAAGTGACTTAACCCTCCTTGTTCCCAGTTTCCTCACCTGTGGAGTGGGGTGATTATAGTCCCTTTTAGGAGAGAATTAGTGAGATTTCTAATTATTCCCAGCACTGGGAAACTAAGCAATTGGGCCTCCTGCTCCCAACGGCCAACACAGCAGATGCTTATCTGCTTCTCTCCCACCCAGTCTCTCACAAGGACAGTCCAACCTCTTTGCCAGGTTTGTCAGAATCTGATTTAAATAGAGCCCATCACTAGACCAGTCATAAGCCTGGAATCTATGCCCAGCCCTCCAATATAGATGGTTGTAGAGCTCTGACAGTAGGAGAAAGCATACTGGTCCAAAGCTGGAGGGAGCAAGGTCAGCCCAAGCTGGAGTAGGGGGCAGTGGCTATGGGAGTCCCCTCCCACGACTTCCTCTTTACCTTTGTGTGCAGCTTTGCAAACTGCTTGTCATCTATGAGGTTCTGGGCATAAACTCTCCGCTTGTATCGAAACTGCTCAGATAAAAGAGAAGGTGGAGAGAAGACACTCATGCAGGCTCAGTGAGCAAGTGGTGACTACCAAAATCCTGCTCACATGCACACTGCTCACCACACTCACCGCACTAGGCCCTCCTGCACATACCTTCAATGCAGCAAAGCCTGACAGCCACACAGGTCCCAGACACACTACCATGGTAGACAGAGCTGACAGCTGCTGCCTACTCACCACAGACATGATGCATGGTACAGGAAACACAGTGCCTGGGTACCCCATAGCCTGGCCTGCACCCTGTCTCGTTGCCATACCCAGGATTACCTGGAAAGCCCTACTGCTCTCCCAGGATCAGGTATCAGGCTAACCTTCCTAGACACCCCTCTCCAAGTAGAACTGATCTACTTCCTGGTGCCACCATGGGGGTCAATGCCCATCATTGTTTTCACCTTCCCCCCAAACTACAAGGCCTCAGTCTGTGTCCCCCATGCCTGGAAGGGCATTCAAAGCACTTTTATGTCATGAATGGTGCACAGAACAACTTCAGAAGATTGGGGGACGGGACGGGAGATAGGGAACAAATGTGCTCATAGATAACACTGCTCACACCACACACCCCTCTCGACACTCACTCCTCACACTCCTCCCTTCAGAACAATACTTGTGCTCACTGCACACTGTGTTCAAATTACTCACAGCACGCATGCAGACTGCGTGCGTTGCATACTCTGCTCACTGTGTACTGTTTACAATGCTGTTTGGCCTAACTGCAACTCTGGACAATCGCTTACCACACTCGCTGCTCACACCCCACGTGCTGCAAGCACGGCTCACTGCACACACCCTGACCACTGCACTCAACTGTATCCATTTCTACCTTGCCGCACATGGCTCGGACTGTAACAGTCCCCCAAGGCTACCTGTCCCCAGCTCTCTCCTGGGTGTTTCTTACTGCCCTGCCGTTTACTGCTCTTGCCACCGAGCTCAGGAGCACCCTGCGTGCTCTCTCCCACCCCCGCCCGAGCCTGCCCAGCACCTCCAGGTAGGGCAGGGGCGTGTCCAGGTTGGGCGGATAGTCTTGCAGGAGCCGTTCCTCATCCAAGAACTTGCCGGCACGGCCCCGGGAGGGCGGCTGGAAGAGCCCGTAGTTGAGCGCGTCCTGGAGGCTGTGGTTGAGGGCGCAGAGCACGCGCTGCTTGGCGGCCCACACAGGCGCTGTCGGGTCCAGGCGCAGGCACTTCTGCGGCGGAGCGAGTCGTGAGCATGGACAGGCCTGCCCCGCACGCACCGGGCGCCGCAACCCGAGCACGCCGGAGTGCAGGCTGCGGAGCCGGAGCCGGAGCCGGAGCCGGAGCCGGAGCCGGAGCCGGAGCCGGGACCCCCCCGCCTCGGTGCTCTGAGGCCGAGGCCCCGCCCCGGGGCTGGGCTTCCCGAGCCCCGCCCCGGCGATGGGGAGGGTCCCGTGGAGGTGGCGGGGGAGGGGTGAGTGGCCGCGGCCGGGGGTCCGGGCGCAGGGAGCGCCTGGCGGGGGGCAGAACTAGCGGGCGGTGCAGGGGAACAGCGGGACCGCGGGGGCTCACCGTCTGCTGCAGGTCCGGGATGCCGACGCGCACGACCACGGCGCTGGCCCCGGGGCCGTCCATCCCCGCGCCGGGGCCGGGGCCCGGGCTGCTCGAGGCCGGTAGCGGGGCGCACGGGGACTCCGCGCGGCGCCCCGGCCCCCCCTGACCCCCCGCCGGAACCCCGCCGGCCGCACTGCGCGGGAGGGGGCCGGGGGGGCCGGGGCCGGGGCCAGCGCGAGGGGCAGCGGCTCCGGGGGCTCCGCAGACGCGGCGGCGGCGGCGGCAGCGGCGGCGCGGCTCAGCTGCATCGGCCCCGGCTCCGCGCGGCGCCTGCCTTCCCCGGGGGCGGGGGCGGCGGGGGGAGGGGGCCCGAGCCGGGAGCGGAGCGGGGGCGGCGAGGGGGCCGCGCCGGAGGCGGGGACCGGAGGGTTCGGGGCCAGTTGGCGGGGGTCCTCCTGGGGTCCGGGTGGCGTGGGCGGTCGGCGCGGAGGGCCGGGGGTGCTGCGCCGGGGATGGGGGCGCCCTGGGCCTCGCGGGGGGGAGTGGCTGAGCGGCGAGGGCTACACTGCCCTTCCGCCGTGAGCGAGCGTCGCAGACCACCGAGCTGGGGCGGCGGCGTGTCCTGGAGCTGGGTGGGGGCCGCGTCGGGGCAAGAGGACCACAGGCAGGGTGGGAGGAAGAGGAGCAGGAAAATTGATTTCCGGGGGTGGAAGTCTCCCCCACAATGTTCCCCACTTTGCCGACCCCCACTCCAAGCCCCTAGGAGGTGGCGGGGTCAACGGTGCCCCAGACCTGGGGGTCGGAAGGCTGCAGACTCCAGATCGGGGAGGGAGGGGGCTGGCCCGGGGCGAGAGCGCCCCCCCAAACCAGCTCTTCCGACCGCACCCAGCGGATTCCCCGTGGCCCCCACCGCGGCCGAGTTTGGGAGTTCGTCCGGACCCCCAGACCCCGTTCCTGCGGCACTTCCGACCCCGATCGTCTGGGCTCCACCGCCAGTCGCCCCCTCCCCGTCACCCTAGCGACAGCAGGATGGGGGCGCGACCTACGAGGAAGGGCTTAGGGGAGGGGGCGCCACTAGTCTCCACCTGCGACGGGGAAGTGAATTTTAGTTTCACGCGTTGTCTTGGCAACGCGGGAGGGGGTGACGAGTGGGCGGGGAGGGGAGCGCGGCGAGGGAACCAGCTCAGGCGCTGCCCGTGTGGCGTGCCAGCCTCGCCCCGCACAGCCTCGGAAGTGCCCAGCCCGCGGGCGCCCTTAGCAGAGAGCAGGCTCAGCCACTGAAGGAAAGAATTGCCCTACAGCCCCGAGGGTCTGCTTCTGCTTCCCATTGCACTCTCCCAACTGTCTTGACAGACACCCCACCCTCAAACCGCCCCTGACCCCCTCAGCGAGCCACTCACCCGCAGTGGCACACACTTGACAGCCTTCACGGAACAGCCTGGCGGGAGCCCTCTGCCTGTGGTGGAAAGCAGCCCCTAAGTTCCAGCCTCCCCCACCTTCTCAACAAGCAGTCCTGGATCCCCCACAAAACTGGTCATTCCTGAGCCTTCCGGAAATAACTTTAAACTGACTGGGACTTCATACACACAGAACCTCCCTACCCCATGACAATCTGGATCACCTAGAAAAACCCTGACCACACACCACACAACAGTGATTGACACACACCCCCAACACCAGCCTCCACTCCCCACAGATTCACCTAACCACCACCCTCCCCTACAAAAAGCACTCCTTGACTCCACATAGTGTATGTCTGACCAACCCCAACCCCAGAGCAGGGCCCTCCTCCCAGGCTCACTCCTGCACCCCACCACCTGAAGAACAATCTCAGCTTCCCCAGGAGCCACTGACCGATCAAATCTGTCTCCAGCGTCTGTGAATCTGGTCATGCCTGTCCTCAAGCCTGGGTGGACCCTCCCTGTCAGGGGAAGTGAAGCCAGCATGCTCCCTGCCCCCCTTCCCGCCTTTTCCAAGGCCACTGGTCTGTCAGAGTGGTGCAGCTGAGGGTCCCCTAGGGGATGGGGCAGGATGGTGGAGGAGGGGGTAGAAGCTGGGAGCAGGAAGGGATTCCCTTATCTGCAGGAAGCACATTGGGAAACACAAGGCTGGGTTTCCTGTGGCCCAGCCCAGGAGAGGAAATTCAGCTTCCCGGCCTTGATGACTCCACCTTCTTCCTGCCCTATATTGTTTTCCTCCCCCTTCTCTTAGGCCCCAGTTCCTACCTGGCTATCCACCACCCCTGTTACCACACCCTCCACCTGGTTTACTCCCAGCTTCTTTTCCCACCTGGTGGACAGTGCTCACTATAGTCCACCAATGATGGAGCTGGAAGGGAGGAGGTTCACATCTCCCCAACCAGAGCAGCAGACCAACCACAGACCTTCCCACTGTTCCTTGGGTATCCTGAAACCTGCCCTTGTCCTGGGTGGACCCAGAGCCCCAGGCCTTACTCCCGCAGGTGGGCTGTCTCAGGCTGGACTTCATGGAGCCCTTGACCCTCCAACCTGCCTGCCAGACAAATTCAGCCATCCCCTCTAGGCCCTTGGCTGTTGCTGCTGAGCCTTTTGGGAAAGTCTCACATCTTTACCTAGTAGACTGATGGTCTCTGCCATCAGCCGTCATGCTACCAGGCCTGTGTTCTGTACAGTGGTTGGCCACAGTGCATGAATCCCAGACCTGACTTCTGTACGGCCTGACGAACAGCAAAAATAACAATACCCAGAAGCACTTATGCATATGAATGCCTCCTGGTGGGTTCATGGAGGAGGGAGTCAAGGAGCACGGGGTGTCTTTCTCCCTTATTTTGTTGAGAACCCCAGGTTCCTCCCTGCCTCCCATAAGCCTCCTGAGCAGCCCCAGCTGCCTTCCCTCAGGCCCAGGCAGGGGTACCCTTAACCTGGCCCCACTTTCAGATACCAGAACCTTCTGCCTACACCCTCTTTCCATCAAAACCAAAATACTGGAAAGAGTCTCATTTTCACTATCTCTACTTCTCCACCTCCCACCACTCTTTCAGAAACACAGGTTCATGGGATTTGGAGGGAATATGTGGGCAATGTGCCCAAAATAGTGCCTGGCACTGAAATGGGGATGAACCACTCTGACAGACTCCAGCCCACTGCCCTGCACCCTGAAGGCTACTGCCAAGGGTTCACTACCTTGTAAGTTCTCCCTCTGTACTTAAGCATTTGCTCAAAGATGCCCCCAAAACCTTGGGGGAGAACTTCCCTCCATGCCCTGGCCCTCCTCCGTCCTAAGCACCCTCCAGCTAGTGGTTTACACTCCCAGCCCCACCTTCTGGCCCTCTGGGTGGCTTCCTGCCTTTTTCTGGTGGGACTGGGATTTGAACTCCAGGCTTCACACTTGCTACTCCTCCAGTCCATTTTGCTCTGGTTATTTTGGAGATGAGGGCTCATGAACTATTTGCCTGGGCTAGCTTCAAACCTCCATCTTCCCAGTCTCCACCTCCCAAGTAGCCACCGGGTGCCTGACTGGCCTCCTGTCTTAATGAGGTGGTTTGCCTCATCAGCTTCAATGGGAGGTGTCCCTTTCTGCATTCCAGTGCTCCTGCAGGTCTGCTTCCTCACACAAATCCCAACCCTACCCTCCTTTTGCTCCTCAGCCCACGGTGGCCTGCCACCTGGGTCACCAAATCACGGACTCCTTGCTGTTAGCCTTGAAGGCATGCTTCTGTCTAATCTCACCTGGCTTCTCCTGGAGCCCCTATTCCCTTGATCCAATGACAACTGGAGTAGGGGTGGGCGGTTCCTGCTCCCAGGCCATCTCCTGGCTGCTTTCTTCCTACAATCTACTGCTCTCCCCATACGGACACACTCTGACCTACTTAATATCTTCTGAGGCTGCTATTGTCTTTATTTTATTTTATTTTTTAATTTTAATTTATTTGGTGAGACTGGGGTTTGACCTTAGGGCTTCATGCTTTGTAAAGCAAGCATTCTACTGCTTGAGCCATACCTCCAGTCCGTGCTATTGTCTTCTAACAAACTCTGATTCACTTATTTGTTGCTTAGCATCTGTCTTTCCCTGCCAGAAGGTGGGCTCCCTGTGGAGGCGTGTCTTGGCCTGTCTGGTTCTGCTTTGTCCAAGCCCGCCCCCACCTCCTGGCCCCACACAGAATGGCTCTGCTTGTCTGCTGGGTGGATGAGTCAAAGCTTAAAACTTCATCCACAAGTTCACACCCAACATTCTCTTCAGCTCAGAACCTCTCTCCAGCATCTGCATATGACAGGAACTCTGGAATGCTAGGTTGACTGGAAAGCTGTCTGGATATGGTATATTTTTTGTGAGTAGGTTTTCTATTGCTTCTAGTTATGTAATATCTAAAAGTAAGTTCAGATCCTATTTCACCTTGAGTCTAATTTTTCTAGAAATAAGAATATTTCTTTGTGTGATAATCAGCTTAGGTTGGGTCTTTTCTGTCAAAGGATTTAATCAGTAACCATGTTACAAATGTTAGTCTCACTCACTAGCTTCCCATACTTGCGCTTCATGGACTCTGCTTAATGTGATAAAAGTTTCTGTTAAGAATAAAGGGTTGTTATTCTGAAACAGACAAAATTCTGGTAGATGCCCTGGTTCTGGAATGGATAACCTAAAACAGTTATTGCTTCCCTAAGCTTTTAAATTTCTTTGTCTTCAAAGCCCTCTCCCGATGTCCTCTTTCCAATTAGCAACCATGTAGACTGTAAACCCAAAACCTGTCCAATACAGGAGAGGGGCAGCATCACATTAGAGATAAACCCCAGCAGACTCCCCGCTGGGTGTGCTTGCTTTGTGGTACATCATTCTACAGAAGTAAATTTTGCCTTGCCTGTTGACTTCTGAGTTGTGTCATCTCTGTCTCCTAACACCCCAATATCTTAAAGCTATTTCTAACACTTTGGATTTGACTTTTCAGTTTTTTGCTGCTTTTGCTTTTTTTTTGGCAGCACTGGAGTTTGAACTCAGGACCTCACGATTACTAGGCAGGCGCTTTTACTGTTTGAGCCACTCCAGTTTTTGCTTTTTTGAGACAGGGTCTCACTATGTTGCCTAGACTGACCTTGAACTTGCCATCCTCCTGCCTCAGCTTCTTGAGTGCTGAGTGTACCACCTGTGCATGCAGCCTTTCATTTTTGATCATCTGTTTTCTATTTCACTTTATTAAGTTTATTCTCTCTACATTTTTTGG